AAGGTACAGGGGCCGCCGCCTGCAGGGCCGGCATCCCATGTGGGCGCCGGTTTGAGTCCCGGCTGCTCCAGTTTTGATCCAGCTCTCTGCTATGGCCTGGGAAAGCAGTGGAAGATGGCCCAAGTCCTTGGGCCCCTGCACCCACTTGGGAGACCCGGAAGAGACTCCTGGCTCCTGGCTTCAGAATGGCCCAACTCCAGCCATTGTGGCCATTTAGGGAGTGAACCAGCGATGGAAGAGCTCTCTCCCTGCCTCTCTGTAACTCTTTCAACTGAAGTAATAAATCTTAAGGGGAAGGGAAGGGACGGAAGAAGGAGGAGGGAGGGAGGGAAGGAAGGAAGGTCCGGGGCTTGTCACCAAGACCATCCAGAAGGGGAAGGAGGCGGCTCCTGCCCCTCCCAAAGCAAAGGCTCTGAAGGCCAAGGTGGCAGTGCTGAAAGGTGTCCACACTCGGCAAAAATGCGCCTGCTGTCACCCACACCCAGCCAAGACCCCCCAAAGAGCGCCCGGACGATCAAGCCTGACAGCTCTGCCATCGACTTCCCCCAGCACCACGCGCACAGAAGACGACAGCACAGGCGTGCTCACGTGGACTCAAGCTCCGCACCAAAGAGGCGGGGAGGAAGCCCCACGACACTACACGGCGAGAACAGCGCCCTGGCCAGGCCCGAGACAGAGGCTTGTGTTCAGCTGGCTCCCGCTTATCAGTCCTCCTGCAACCACCCCTAATCTAGGTCCAGCTGGCTAATTCTGAATGCCACCTTCTCACCATGAGAAAACAAAGAAAAGGCGCAGGGCCGTGTTGTGGCGCAGCTGGTTAAGCTGCAGCTTGCAATACCGCCATCCCGTTATCAAAGCACCAGTTCGGGTCCTGGCTGTTCCACTGCTAATGTACCTGGGAAGACAGCGGTGGAAGATGGATCAAATGGGTGGGCTCCTGCCACCCACGTGGGAGACCAGATGGCGTTCCTAGCTCCCGGCTTTGACCTGACCCAACCCTGACTGTTCCAGCCATTGCGGGGAGGGGGGATAGCAGATGGAAAGTTTGTATCTCCCTCCCTGTTACTTTGCCTTTCAAATAAATCCTAAAAAAAAAAAAAAGAGGGGCCGGCACCGTGGCTCACTTGGTTAATCCTCCGCCTGCAGCATCGGCATCCCATATGGGCGCCGGGTTCTAGTCCCGGTTGCTCCTCTTCCAATCCAGCTCTGCTGTGGCCTGGGAAGGCAGTGAAGAATGGCCCATGTCCTTGGACCCCTGCATCAATGTGGGAGACCTGGAAGAAGCCCAGCTCCAGCCATTTGCAGCCATTTTGGGAGTGACCCAGCAGATGGAAGACGTCTCTCTCCATCTTATCCCTCTCTGTCTGTAACTCTTACTTCTCAAATACATACATAAAAAAAAAAAAAAAAAAAGAGAGAGAGAAAGAGAAAGAAAGAAAAAGAGGGGCTTGCACTGTGGTGTAGCAGGTTAAGATGCCTTCTGCTGTGCCAGCATCCCATATGGGCGCCGGTTCGAGTCCTGGCTGCTCCACTTCCAATCCAGCTCCCTGCTAATGGGCTGGGAAAAGTAGTGGAGGATAGCCCAAGTCCTTGGGCTCCTGCCACCAGGTGGGAGACCTGGAAGGAGCTCCTGGCTCCTGGCTTGAGCCTGGCCCAGCCCCTGCCAATGCAGCCATCTGGGGAGTGAACCAGCAGATGGAAGATCTCTTTCTCCGTCTCTCCCCTCTAACTCTTTCAGATAAATAAATCTTAAAAAAAAAAAAAAAAAAAAAAAAAAAGGCAGGAAGGGAAGTAAAGTGACTGTCCCCTGAAGATTCCTGCCAAACTCTCCCTACAACAGGCTTCTGAATTCTACAACCTTGATGTAAATGTTATCTCAGTTTTTTTAAAAGACTTTATTTACTTGAGAGAGTTACAGACAGTGAGAGGGAGAGACAGAGAGAGGTCTTCGATCCGGTGGTTCATTCCCCAAATGGCCAGAGATGGGCCAATCCGAAGCCAGGAGCCAGGAGTTTCTTCTGGGTCTCCCACGCAGGTACAGGGGCCCAAGAACTTGGGCCATCTGCTGCTTTCCCAGGCCATAGCAGAGAGCTGGATCGGAAGTGGAGCAGCTGGCGCCCATATGGGATGCCGGCACTGCGGGCGGAGGATAAGGGCTTGATAGTGAACTTAAAGGGCCAGTCACAGGTATAATCAAATATACAGTGTCATCGTGTTTAGTAGTTGAAATGTCAGCATCTCAGTCCCGAGTGCCCGAGTTCAAGACCACTCCAGGCGCCACAGCGCTGGCCCTGTTTCACTGTTTTATAGTAAAAGTTTTTATATATATATATATATATATATATATATATATAAAAGCAAATGATGTTATATGATTATCACAGTTATATTTTGATAGATCTTATAAAGCTATGGCTTTCTGTTCCTTCAGAGGCAGACAGAGCTCCCATCCACTGGTTCACTCCCCAAATGCCCATGATGACGGGCTGGGCTGGGGCTGGAGCCAGGAGGCGAGTACAAGGGCAGCAGGGATCCAATTACTTGAGCTAACACTGCTGCCACCCCAGTCTCAGCGAGCAGGAGACCGTAGTTTTTTGTTTTGTTTTGTCTTTGTTGTTTTTTTTAGATTTATCTTACTTGAAAGTCACCATTACACAGAGGACAGGTGGGGGGGGGAGGGTCTTACACCTGCTGGGTCTCTCCCCAGATGGCTGCAACGGCTGGAGCTGTGCTGATCCAAAGCGAGGAGCCAGGAGCTTCTTCCCGGTCTCCCATGTGGGCGCAGGTGCCCAAGGCCTTGGGCCATCTTCCACTGCTTTCCCAGGCCACAGCAGAGAGCTGGATCAGAAGTGGAGCAGCCAGGACTTGAACCGGCACTCATATGGGATGCCGGCACTGCAGGCGGTGGCTTTACCCACTAAGCCACAGCACTGACCCTGGAGTGGTCTTGAACTCGGGCACTCGGGACTGAGATGCTGACATTTCAACTACTGAACACGATGACACTGTATATTTGATTATACCTGTGACTGTCCCTTTAAGTTCACTATCAAGCCCTTAGACTTCACACACATTGTATCAATTTCTAGCATCTTTCTGGGTCTCTGAACTGCCATTATGACAACTGATTGCATGATTCCGAGCCATACTATGTATCTTGTGCCCCTACAAAGTCTACATATTTAACAGGAAAAAATACAGATTTAACCTGGTCTAATTGGTGTAATAATTGGTATAAGAATAAATACAAGATTTCCAAAGCTCTAATCAATGACCATGCTCAATAAAATTAAAGAGACATCTTATTATATGCCCTTGATGTGTCTGTGGGCCATAATCTATTTCCATCAACACAATACATGAATTTTAAAAAATATATTTATTTGAAGGTATTACAGAAAGACAGGGAGAGGGGCCAGCACTGTGGCATAGTGGGTAAAGCTGCTGCCTTGCATCCCATATGGGTGCCACTTCCGAGTCCTGGCTGCTCCACTTCTGATCCAGCTCTCTGCTGAGGCCTGGGAAAGTAGAAGATGGCCCAAGTCCTTGTGTCCCTGCACCCCCATGGGAGACCCGGAAGAAGCTCCTGGCTCCTGGCTTCAGATCAGCGCAGCTCCGGCCGTCGTGGCCAATCGTGGAGCAGCCAGGACTCACACTGGAACTCCGATAGGGAATGCTGGCATCACAGGTGGCGGCTTAACCCACCGTGCCACAATAGCAGCCCTGCAATACGTAAACTTATAAACTCATGATTTACTAAGTAAAATACTAAGCTAAGGAAATAATTCCATTAGTCTTGCATTTTGGAAGTCTGAATTCATGTCTGTACTCTTATCATTTGAAAAAGTTATAAAGTCCCACACTGGATTCCAATTAGAAAAACATCCAGGAAAGCAATTCGGTGTGCATTTAAGGAAGCCTCAGCGGCTTGCCCAGGCCTGTTGTACACATCCAGAGGCACTAATTGGGTCTGGTGAGCAAGACTTTACACCAGAAGTCTGGGGCAGCAGAGTTTACAAATACCTGACAACATGCAACTACTACAGCACAAAGAGCTGGATCATCTTTTTTTTTTTTTTTTTTTTTGGAAGATTTATTGATTGATTTGAAAGGCAGAATTACAGAGAGGTTCACTCCCCAACTGGCCGCATGGCCGGAGCTGTGCCGATCCGAAGCCAGGAGCCAGGAGCTTCTTCCAGGTCTCCCACGCGGGTGCAGGGGCGCCATTTTCTACTGCTTTCCCAGGCTGTAGCAGAGGGCTGGAGCAGCCAGGACTCGAACCAGCGCCTATATGAGATGCCGGCACTGCAGGCGCTGGCCCCGTGGCTCACCCTTGACACGATGAAAACTGCTGGGGACAAGCTTTGTGGCGCAGCACTGTCGGCTGCTGCCTATGCGGGCCGGCTCGCGGCGCAGCTGCTTCACTTTCAGGTTAGCTCTCTGCTAATGCGGCTGCAGACCCTGATGGCGTGCCAGGCTCCTGGCCCCCGCGGCCGTCTGGAGAGTAAACTCTTCCTCTCCCTCTCTAACTCTGCCTTTCACATCAGTAAATAAATCTTTATTAAGAAGACACTCTTCTGACACAACCCAGTGAGCATATACCTCCCTCTGCTCCTGAGGCCTCAGGGACACTGGCTGAGTTTACGGCTTTACACGCGGTATTAAGTGACGTTAGCGTTCTGGTGATCACACTTCAACAGCGGCAGCCAAGTCAACGTTGTCCTATTTTAAATGCCTTTTCAGTAACAGGATTCTACAGGGGGATCCATCATAAATGTATGAGTTAAAGACTGCCTATGTAACAGTCTCCTTTAACCATGAGTTAGCTGAGTTTACTCCAACTGGTCTGATGGAAACAAAAAATACAACCATAATCCTCCAGAACTAACTGCAAACGTACCTCATTAAAAAACTAGAACCGCTGTCATTAGTATCTTTAACACAGGCTATCAGTAAGCCTTCACCCACACATAAAGCATCACAGCTTACGTCCAGCAAACTTAATTTTATCAAATTCTTTTTAATTTCATGGACAATATGATACATATTGTATAGAAGCACACAATAGTTTCGCGGTACAATTTCAAAGTGTATACAAATTGGAATACAGAGAGGTTAAACACAGGTGTATGTACTGACAGCATTTCTCTTTAGATAAACTGCATATAAAACTTACAATGCAAATATTAGCCAATCTGAAAACTTCACTCTCATAATATAAAAATGATACTTTGAGATGCAAATTTTTTTACTAAACAAACTATATAAACATTTAAAATAATCATTAAAAACTCAATATTAGAATTTATAAAGATCAGCTATAAAAATATATTGGCAGTCACTTTTCTTATAAAGGTACCATTCACTACATTACAAAATAGTCTCTAACATAAAATTACCTTAATAATCGTACTATTTTAAGATCTGATAAACCTTACATTGACTATAAAATCCTCTTGGAAAAACTTTGGTATGCATCTTCAGGTTTTTTTAAAAATAATATATTTTAAGGGCCTGTAAACATTCCATTCTATTAAAGCACACAGAATAAGTAATGGATATTCAACTGCATACAGAATACAGAATCAAAAAAAATTTATTACATATTTGTAGAAAATCACCATTACCAGAGTAAGCAAGGACCAATTTAAAAACATTAAACTATTAAACAGTTTTCTTTCCATTCTGATAAAAAAAAAAAAGTTATAAAATCACCACACTCCATTCATGTACCTTAGATAGCTTTAGGACAAGACCTCAAAATGGTTAACCCAGTTTCAAAAACCCTCTCAAGTCCAACAAATAAACTTTAAAAAAAAAAAAAAACAAACAAACAAACAAAAAAAAAACACAAAAAACCTCACTTAAAAGACCTGACAATGGAACAAGCATATATAATCATAAAACATAATTTATCTTTTAGTAATGTACTAAGGTTTTCTTTTACAATTGTAATTTAGAATTTATTGGCAAAATCACACACACACACACACACACACACACACACAACTGAAAAAAAGGTAAATTTCAGGAAACAATAAGAAATGCAAACCTATAGGGTAAATTGATTTATTTTTAAAAATTCAATTTACCATATTTCATCTTTTTTGTATTTCTGGGTTGACACCATTGTTATTTAGAAAATGCCTGCTTCTTGGTTCTTGAGTTTAATTTTTACACAGCTTCCAGTTGTGCCCAGAGCTTCCTTGAGGTTGTTTTCCACTTAATCCTGACGACACATCTCTTGCATAAGATATCTTTGTTGCAAAAACCTAAATAAAAAGCTTCACTTTTGACCTTTTAATTTATAAAACTCCGCTAAAAAGAAATCCATCTAATTTTTAGGCAAGTCCACAAAAATATTTTCTTTCTTTCTTAAGAATCAAACACTTTTATGGGAATAAAGATCTTTTAAAGTCTTTAACTCTTCTATCAGAGTTTTATTTTGATTCTCCAGAACTGCAACTCGATTCTCCAGGCATTTCACATACTCTTTCTTCTTTCTGCGACATTCTCGAGCAGCTTCTCTAAATATAAACATTTGTTTTGAATGTTAGAAAACAACTTTACATTCTTTAAATAGTAAATTTTCTTCTGTAATTTTACCTGGTCCCCTTTTCCCCCTCATTTGAAAACTTAAGGTATTACCTACATACAGCAAAGTAAACAGATCTTAAGAGTAGAATTCAACCAGTTCTGGCAAATGCCCATGCCTGCATCACCTGTACCCCTGGAGAGACGGCACATGTCCAATGCCGCAGGAGGTTCAGTCAGTGCTTTCCCAAGCAACCACTAGTCTGATTTTGTCACCGCAGCTCAGTTCTTCCTATTCTAGAACCTCAGGCAACAGTGTCAGTAGGTTCTCTTGTGTCTGGGTTGCCTTCCATTCAACATAGTTTTGAGGTTCACCCATGTTGTTGCATGCTGGTTTGTCCTTTATATTGTTGAATGCATTCCACTGTGTAAATATAAATTATTTATGTATTCTCTTGGGCTATTTCTAGCGTTAGCTGCCATGCATGTTGTGTGCCAATCTTTTTGTAGATTTAGGTTTCATTTCTCTTGAATAAATACCAGAGAGTAAAATTTAAGGGTCTTCTGGTTAATTGTTCACATAACTTCTTCAATTTCTGGTTATTAAGTCTGAATTATAAACAATACTTGAGGGGCCAGTGCTGTGGCATAGTGGGCTAAGCCTCCACCAGCAGCGTTCCACTTCCGATCTATCTCTCTGCTGTGGCCTGGGGAAGCAGTGGAAGATGGCCAAGTCCTTGGGCCCCTGCACCTGCATGGGAGACCTGGAAGAAGCTCCTGGCTCCTGGCTTCGGATCGGCTCAGCTCCAGGCGTGTGGCCATTTGGAGAGTGAACCAGTGGATGGATGGAAGACATCTTTCTCTGTCTCTCCATCTCACTGTCAGTAACTCTACCTCTCAAATAAATAAAATCTTTTAAAAAATTTTTAAAAAGAAAGAAAACCCATGTGTTTAAAAAAATAAAAATAAAAACAGTGCTTGAGCCAACACTCAGTTCTGTGAGATCCTCTTAGAACACTTCTGGGAAGGCACATCAAGTTACCCAGTATCTATAAAGAGGTGGATGCTACCTTTGGCTTTTTATACCATATATGTAAATCTGAATTGCAACACGTTCTACACATGCTGTTTTAACGATCTTTCTGTTAGTACACAGATCTCTATTTTTCAAGGCAGTGCGTAGGACCTGTAATTATTAACCAACACCTCCCAGAAAGACTTCCAAGAGGCCTCCAGTGAATATCCTATACATGTCCCCTGTCATATATAATGTGGGGTCTCAAACTATATGCATTTAAATCAAGAGATGCTGCCAAATTTCCTTCCAGGGCATCTACCAATGTATATCCTTCTCAGCACTACACTCGGAATATCTGCTTCTCTTCACTTTCTCTAATTTCTGATGTTATAAAAATTACAAAATTTTTGTCTAATGGCTACAAACTTGTATCTTCTTGCTTTAATTCCCATTTCTTGATTATGCAAAAAGTCTGATGTGATTTCATGTTTGTAGGCTATGTATTTTTTTCTTTTCTTAGATCTCACATTTATTTACAGAAATAAATCTATTTATATACCTATTACATTTGGCTGTACAGATACAGGTAGGACTGTATAAGCTATAATTCTTTCTCTATATATAGATCTCTATCTATAGATCTATATATCTATCTATAGATCTCTATCTATATCGATATCTATATATATATCTATAGATCTATAGATCTTTATCGATACAAATATATACATCTATATATATATCTATATCGATATAGATATATAGACACCTATATATAGTTGTATATATAGATCTATGGATCTATAGATCTAGATATATATAGAGATAGATGCAAATATTTTTCACAGGTAAAAGACATAGTTTTAAGCTTGTTATGGTATCTTGTCACACCGAAGCAGACCTGCTGAGTCAAAGACTATGTATTATAAAACTTCAATTTTGGGGCTGGTGCTGTGACGTAGTGGGTAAAGCCACCATCTACAGTGCCAACATCCCACATGGGTGCTGATTTGAGACCTGGCTGCTCCACTTCTGATCCAGCTCTCTGCTATGGCCTGGGAAAGCAGTGGAAGATGGCCCAAGTCCTTGGGCCCCTGCACCCATGTGGGAGACCCAAAAGAAGTTCTTGGCTCCTGGCTTCGGATCAGCGCAGCTTCAGCCATTGCAGTCAATTAGGGAGTGAACCAGTGGATGGAAGATCTCTCTCTCTCTCTCTCTCTCTCTCTCTCTCTCTTTCTGCCTCTCCTTCTCTGTTTAACTCTTTCAAGTAAAATAAATAAATCTTAAAAAAAAAAAAAACAATTTCCCTCACTAATGTACGTGAAATACCTTTTCTCTATGTACTCAATGGCAGTCACTTTTGAGTTTCTGCCGTGTGACATCTTGTTAATTATTTCACTACTTATGAGGACGAGCATATTTTTCAAGAGTGCATTGGTCTGGTTTTTTGTAAATGTGCAATTCACTTACACTTGCTCATTTATCTATCAACTAGGTTGTCTTTCTAGTGGTTTCCTTTTTTTTTAAGATTTACTTTTATTTATTTGAAAGAGTTAGAGAGAGAGGTAGAGACAGAGAGAGAGGTCTTCCATCTGCTGGTTCACTCCCCAATTGGCCACAATGGCCACAGCTGTGCCGATCTGAAGCCAGGAGCTTCTTCCAGGTCTCCCATGTGGGTACAGGGGCCCAAGGACTTGGGCCATCTTTTACTGTTTTCCCAGGCCACAGCAGAGAGCTGGATTGGAAGAAGAGCAGCCAGAGGCCGGCGCCGCGGCTCACTAGGCTAATCCTCCACCTTGCGGCGCCGGCACACCGGGTTCTAGTCCCGGTCAGGGCGCCAGATTCTGTCCCGGTTGCTCCTCTTCCAGGCCAGCTCTCTGCTGTGGCCAGGGAGTGCAGTGGAGGATAGCCCAAGTACTTGGGCCCTGCACCCCATGGGAGACCAGGAGAAGCACCTGGCTCCTGCCATCGGATCAGCGCGGTGCGCCGGCCCTGGTGGCCATTGGAGGGTGAACCAATGGCAAAGGAAGACCTTTCTCTCTGTCTCTCTCTCTCACTGTCCACTCTACCTGTCAAAAAAAGAAAAAGAGCAGCCAGGACTAGAAGTGGTGCCCATATGGGATGCCAGCGCTTCAGGCCAGGGCGTTAACCTGCTGTACCACAGAGCCGGCCCCCACCCCCCATTTTTTTAAATAAAGATTTATTTGTTTATTTGAAAGGCAGAGTTACAGACAGGCAGAGAGTGAGTGAGAGAGAGAAGCCTTCCATCCGCTAGTCCACCCCCAAGACGGCCGCAATGCTGGAGCTGCGCTGATCCGAAGACTGGCATGGCAGCTAGGCTGTCACTTGGGATGCCTATGTCCCATAACGAGTGCCCGGTTTGCATCCTGGCTGTTGTTTCCAGTCCAGCTTCCTGCTAACACACTATCTAGGAGGCCTCAGGTATTGGCTAAAGTACTTGGGTCCCTGCCAATTTTATGGAAGATCTGGATTGAGTTCTGGGCTCTGACTTAAGTCTAGCTTAGCCCTGGCTGTTACAGGCACTTGGAGTGTGAACCAGTGGATACAGATCTCTGCCTGTCTCTCTGCCTAAGAAACAAAACAGGGGTCCAACTTAATTTCATTCAAGTGTGGGGCTAGTTGTATCAACATCGTTAGTCAAAACTAAAGCAACCTTGCAAATGTACTTAATAGCAAAGAAGGTACTTCTGAGCTGCGCCATATTTAATAACATTACTCTCTATTCTTGTGCAGATACCAAGATACCCACGGCTGATTTTGATGTTACTGGATTATTTCAGTGCCTAATAAAACAATGGGGCCGGCGCTGTGCTGTACAGGGTTAGGCCACCACCTGCAGTGCCAGCATCTCACATGAGTGCCAGCTGGAATCCTGGCTGCTCCTCTTCTGATTCAGCTCCTTGCTAACGGCATAGGAGAGCAGCAGAGGACGGCCCACGTCCTTGGACCCTTAAATCCATGTGGGAAACTTAGAAGAAGCTACCAGCTCTTGGCTTCAGATCGGCCCAGCACTGGCCATTGTGGCCATTTGGGGAGTGAACCAGCGGATAGAAGACCTCTCTCTCTCTCTCTCTAATTCTGCCTTTCAAATAATAAATAAATAAATTTAAAAAATAAAACAAGTAACCTCTTTCTCTTCTTGAATACTTATTTCTTCCATGTAGACTCTCAGCTTATTTTGTCTACTTCCTTAACAATGTATAGATTCTAGTTTGAACTACACTGAATTTACATGCAAAATCTGAAAGAACTGATACTCAATATTAACTGTCTCTCTCTTAAACAATATATTTCAGTATATTTCCTAATTGTTCAGATACAGTTTTAGTTACAAGATTTTTTAAATGGATTTTAAGCCTTTCCTATTAAATTCTTCCTAGGTATTTCACATTTTGTCATTAATATGGATGCAGTATTATTTCCCACTGTTATTTTCAAGATGGTTACAAACAGCAGCAGAACACCTGTGATGGCTGACTTTGTGGGTTAACTTGACAGGGCCAAGGGATGCCCAGGAGAGCCGGTAAAGCATTACTTCTGGGCATATCTGCGGGGGAGCTTCCAGAAGGGATTAGTATTTGAATGTGTAAGTAAAGAAGATCCACCCTCACCATTGTGGGTGGCCATCATCCAATCCGCTGAGGGCCTGAATAGAACAAAAAAGCAGAGGCAAGGTGAATTCTCAAGACCTGAGCTGGACACTCCTGGTTTCCTGGTGTTGGCCATCAGCAGCACTCGTGTTTCCTTGACCTTTAGATTCTGGGACTTACACCTGTGCCCCTGTCCCCACCCCTGATCAGCCTTGGGCTGAGCTACAAAACTGGCTATCCATATTATTATGGAAAGGGATATTATGGGGTTTCTCAGTATATAATCTGGTGAGCCATCTGTTTCTCTGGAAAATCCTAACGTCTTACTAAATTTACTTAAAAATCACTGTGGATTCTAAACATTTGTTTCTTATGAAGCAGTATACACATAAAAAAGCCCATGTGGTACGGATATATGTTAGGAAGCACAGCAAATAAAATGAGGGTGAATACGTGCAATACTCAAGAGGACACATCACATGTACGGGGAGGCAGCCCTCGGTACTCTGGTCTCCGGCTCATCAGCAATCACTAGTTTCAACTCTCTGCTCACGGTCACAGCTCTAGTACGTAGGTCTGACTCCACACAGTAAATCATCTTTGGTTTCCTAATTTTCCAAGATCATAAAATATGACACTTTATATATTGTTGTAAGTTCTTTCTTTCACTTAACTTTCATTTTTCTAAGCTTTATTCATGTTGAAATGACCACTCAATCCTTACAAATGGAAAGTACTGCATAGTATAAAATCAGTCCCAACTTCTGCATCCATTCTTTTATCAACGGATATTTGGGTTGTTCCCTGATTTTTGCTATAAACATCTTATGCATACTTCTGCAAGTCTCTCAGTCACATACAAAGCAGTCAAGTCATAAGATATCCAGGTCACCTGCACAAGGTAAGGCCTAATTCATTTCCAAAGTGATTGTGTCAGGCCCATAGCAGTATCTAAGTTCTGTGGTTCTAAATCCTGACAACTCCTCTTTACACTTTAAAATGCTTGCCAGCTGGGTTGGTATAAGTAGTATCTAAGTGTGTGGTATTTATTTGCATTTCTTTGATTGCTCTTTTGTATGGTTATTAACCATTCATATATTTTGCTATGCCTTTTTTTTTTCCCTTATTGATTCACAAGGTCTTTGTATTGTTTTCAAAAAAAATCTTTTGCTGGTTAGGTAAGTTACAAGTATCTTCCATAGACCTACAGTTTGTATTTTCATTCCCCTTATGTTATCTTTTTATGAACAGAAGTTATTCATTTCAGTGCAAAATTAATTCATGTTTCTTTTAATTTTTATGTATGTATTTGTCCTCCTTAAGAAATCAAATATAGGATGATATACTTTCACTTAAAAGGTATTTTGTCTTTTTTTTTTTTTTGACAGGCAGAATTAGATAGTGAGACAGAGAGAGACAGAGAGAAAGGTCTTCCTTCTGTTGGTTCATCCCCCAAATGGCCGCTACAGCCGGCACACCGTGCCGATCTGAAGCCAGGAGCCAGGTGCTTCCTCCTGGTCTCCCATGCGGGTGCAGAGCCCAAGTCTTGGGCCATCCTCCACTGCCTTCCCGGGCCACAGCAGAGAGCTGGCCTGGAAGAGGAACAACCGGGGCAGAACCGGCAACGCAGCAGGGACTAGAACCCTGGGTGCCGGCACCGCAGGCGGAGGATTAGCCTAGTGAGCTGAGGCGCCAGCATCACTTAAAGGTTTTAAAATTTCATCTTGTAGGCCGGCGCCACGGCTCAACAAGCTAATCCTCCGCCTAGCAGCGCCGGTACACTGGGTTTTAGTCCCGGTCAGGGCGCTGGATTCTGTCCTGGTTGCCCCTCTTCCAGGCCAGCTCTCTGCTATGGTCTGGGAGTGCAGTGGAGGATGGCCCAAGTGCTTGGGCCCTGCACCCCATGGGAGACCAGGAGAAGCACCTGGCTCCTGCCTTTGGATCAGCGTGGTGCGTCGGCCACAGCGCGCCGGCCGTGGCGGCCATTGGAGGGTGAACCAACGGCAAAAGGAAGACCTTTCTCTCTGTCTGTCTCTCTCACTGTCCACTCTGCCTGTCAAAAAAAAAAAAGAAAAAATTCATCTTGTATATTTAAGTTTATAATCCATCTGGAATGATTCCTGTATAAAGTGTGAGGAAGAAGTCCAGTATGTGTTCATGTGTGAGTTACCAATCGCCTAGCATCATTTGCTGAGTCCAACTACCTGCCCTGTCGTATCAGTGCCTCCTGTGTTCACAGATCTACTTCTGGGTTCTCTATTCTATTTCATTACTCATTTTGTTTATTTCTCTTTTAAACTGTTTATTTTCACTTTATTTTAAAGGCAGAAAGAGAGTTCTTACATCCATGGGTTCAGTCCCCAAATACCTACAGTAACCAGGCCTAAAGCCAGGGCTGCATGGGTTCAGACACCACTTGGGACACCCAAGCCTATACTGCAGTGCCTGGTGCTGGTCCTGGCTCCCTGGCTTCCTGATGGCTCAAGTACTTGAGATCCTGCCACCCACACTCAGCTCCCGGCTCCAGGCTTCAGCCTGGCCCAGCAGTAGCTCTTGTAGGGTTGTGAGCATTTGAGGAGGGAACCAAAAGATGCAAAATCTCCCTCTCGGTCTCTCTTTCAAAATGGACTGAAACTATAAAAATATGTATTTTTAAAGCCAGGAGCCAAGAACTCAATCTGGGTCTCCCACATGGGTGGCTGGGACCCAAGTACTTGAGTTGTCACCCACTGCCTCCCAGGGTGCACACTAACAGGACACTGGACGGGAAGCAGAGGTGGGACAGAACCCAGGCACTCTGATTTAGAATGTGGGTGTCCCAGGGTGTCTCTGCTGCATGAATTCAAATAATGTTTACTTTTTTTTCTGTTTTAGTAAACTGGAAAAAGATTCCTGGACAATGATATAGAAAATAACTATAATTTATAGTTATTCTTGTGGCCATTTTAGGCAGAGGAATACATCTTTGCCAACATTGCTAGTATTATATTTTCCTTCCCAATTTTTATTATAGTCGCTGGTCCTTGATGATTTTCAAAGTATCTTTTTTTCTTTAAAAATTAGACATACTTCTTTCCTTCCTCCATCAGATAACTCAAGACTTTACAAGTCTCACTTTATAGTTTGCTGTTTCTGCGAACTCTTCCTCCTTTTCAGGAAGGATAACTCCTTTCGGGAGTTATCTAAAACTTCGAACTTTGAAACCTGGATCCCTGAGTTTAAAACTCTGTGAGCCCATTAAGAACAGACTGCTGTGTGAAAAGCTTTGCTTAAGATTGCTATATCCAAGGACACGGTACAACTGGGAGAACGCTCTGTCATCTGTGGAGCAGCAGGACTCGCCCATCCACTGGAAATGAATTTAACCCAGCACTGAGGAAAATAAAGCCTCCCTCCGGGCTTATAATGAGACGATTCTAACTAACATCAGGTTGTGTCTCGAGATCTGCAAGAACATTACCCACCCCAGCAGTGAGTGCAGTTTGGCCACCTACCTGTTTTTCATGAGCCGTATTTCTCTCTTCAACTGAGGGTCATCTGTCTTAGTTGTCTGAGACGTCAGCGTCACAGGAGATGTCATCACCACAGCCTGTGGCAGTGAAGTCGCCGAGGGCGTGGTCCGGATCTGGTAGGTCTGCATATCTCCTGAGGCTGCTGTATGGGCCAAAATGCGAGTTAATCGACGAGCCTCGGAAGGGCCTCTGAGAAGCCTTCTATGGACAGCCAAACATACTTACTCTGTACAACCACCTGGTTGCTGGGCACAAGTATTTGCTGTCCGTCCGAGGTCTGTGCGTACTGCAGAATTGTACCTTGCTGAGTGCTGCCTGAATTGGTCATGGGCAACGTCTGCAGTCCCTGTACTCCGTCTGCGCCTGGACTGGCCAACTGTAAGGCTCCATTCGGGGCAATGGCAACTTCAACCAGAGAGAGAAAACAGCCATTATAAGGCTATAAATATACCAGCTCAAAGAAGTGGCAAAGAAACAGAAACAAAGAAAACTGAACACTGGAAAACACAAACACTCTTAAAGCAGGCTTGAATGCACTTCTACTCCTAACTGTTGACTGCTTTAAGTAAACTATATATAAAAGAAATAAAACGCCATTTTAAAAAAAGAAGCACCACCCTGAATTAAGTCTCATACTGTATGATAACACTGGTTAAAAATAGCAGACTTTGGGTGCTCAGCCCTCTGCCTCTCTGCTGAGTCGCCCGCCTGCCTGGCCAGGTGTACTCTCTCCACTCAACCATGTAACCTCACTCCTCCCCACCCCCCCAGTCCGAGTGACTGGGCACCCTCTGGAGAGGTGCCCATCCATCCTTACGGATGTCCCTTCCCTAATAAACCTTGCTATTTTACCTCCCACTAAAAAAATAAAAAATAAAAAAATAAAAATAGCAGACTTTGGAATCCATGGGAACACTCCATGCTAACTGCTAACGTTGTCACGGCAAATCTGGGGCATTAGGAAAGGATACCAGTGTCTGACTGTCCAGGAAAATGAGAAAGAACTGAAAAGTTACAATGTTTGCCTATAAGCATTATAAAGATTGTAACTTTAAAATATTCTGGATAAAATTTGCCTACGGAAAAAAATTTCAAATAGAATAAAAGCTTATATAATGCTTCTTAGCCTGCTGTCCAGTGCTACCACTGATGAATATTTGAGAAATATAAACTATTCATTCATTTCCTATGAAAATTAGCGATAAAGTTATCAGAAAGCTACCACACAGATCACATTACTTAGTTCCCTGTAAACACTTTTTACATGCGTTGGTGCTTTCTCGGCAGCCCAGACATGACATATCCATAAGACATGGCAGCTAGCGCCGTGGCTCAATAGGCTAATCCTCCGCCTTGCGGCGCCGGCACACCGGGTTCTAGTCCCGGTTGGGGTGCAGGATTCTGTCCCGGTTGCCCCTCTTCCAGGCCAGCTCTCTGCTGTGGCCAGGGAGTGCAGTGGAGGATGGCCCAGGTGCTTGGGCCCTGCACCCCATGGGAGACCAGGAGAAGCACCTGGCTCCTGCCTTTGGATCAGCGCGATGCGCTGGCCGCACCGCGCCGGCCACGGTGGCCATTGGAGGGTGAACCAACGGCAAAAGGAAGACCTTTCTCTCTGTCTCTCTCTCACTGTCCACTCTGCCTGTCAGAAAAAAAAAAAAAGAAAAAGACATGGCCAAACAGAAAACACTTTAGCATTTTGCACTTCCCACATAATAAATAAACCCCTTTTAGAGTCTGATGCCTCATCTCCGTACCCTCTTTCCAGATTATAATTATGCAACACTTTGTTTTCCTTTTTATGATTTGGCTAGCAGGAAACCAAATCACACTTGTGAGTGTGTGTTTTAAGTAAAAATGATTTTTTTCAGGCGTTTCTAATCATCCTCCTACTGCCACACACAAATATTCTCATTTAGGAGGCCACTTTAAAAAGTTTCTGGAAAAATGGAATTAAAAGACTTTATTATAGTACAAAAATGTTTAAACCCTATGCAGTTTTTTCATAATATGCAATTTCCATTAACTTACTTTTTTTAAAAAAATAAGAATATTTTATTTTATTTTATTTTTATTTTTGACAGGCAGAGTGGACAGTGAGAGAGAGAGACAGAGAGAAAGGTCTTCCTTTTGCCGTTGGTTCACCCTCCAATGGCCGCCGCGGCCGGCGTGCTGCGGCCGGCGCACCGTGCTGATCCAATGGCAGGAGCCAGGAGCCAGGTGCTTTTCCTGGTCTCCCATGGGGTGCAGGGCCCAAGCACCTGGGCCATCCTCCACTGCACTCCCTGGCCACAGCAGAGGGCTGGCCTGGAAGAGGGGCAACCGGGACAGAATCCGGCGCCCTGACCAGGACTAGAACCCGGTGTGCCGGCACCGCTAGGCGGAGGATTAGCCTAGTGAGCCGCGGCGCCGGCTAAAAATAAGAATATTTTTAAGAGGGGGAGGGGGAGGGGGAGGGGAGAGGGAGACAAATGTCTTCCATTCCCTGGTTCACTCCCTAAATGGTTGCAATGGTAAGAGCTTGGCTGATCTGAAGCCAGGAGCCAGGAGCTTCTTCTGGGTCTCCCACACAGGTACAGGGACCCAAGGACTTGGGCCATCTTCTACTGCTTTCTCAGGCCATAACCAAGAGCAGGATCAGAAGTGGAGCAGCTGGGACTCAAACCGGCGCCCATAGTGGATGCCTGCACTTGCAGGCAACAGCTTTACCAGATGCGTCACAGCACCAGTCTCTCCATTAACTTTCTGAAAACTTTTCATGCATGGAGTTCAAAAACTTTTGCACCAAAATAAACTTTTAGTTGCGTTTTCCCAGAAGTTTTGGAAATACTTTCATGTGACTTTAAATACAAAGACTCATTACAAATTTCCAGATGCAGAAATTCGCGGTTTTATTAGTTACAGTGTTTTACTGCCACATACATATGTCAACATAAAGTTCATGGGAAGGGCTGCTGTTGTGGCACAGCAGGTTAAGAACTAGCCTGATACAGCGGCATCCCATATGGGTGCCAGATGGAGTCCCAGCTGCCCTACTTCCAATCTAGCTCCCTGCTAATGCGCCTGGGAAAGCAGCAGAAAATGGCCCCAAATGCTTGGGTCCCTGCATCCAGGTGGGAGACCTAGAAGAAGTTACGGCTGGCTGGCGCCACAGCTCACTAGGCTAATCCTCCGCCTTGCGGCACCGGCACACCGGGTTCTAGTCCTGGTCGGGGTGCCGGATTCTGTCTCGGTTGCCCCTCTTCCAGGCCAGCTCTCTGCTGTGGCCAGGGAGTGCAGTGGAGGATGACCCAAGTGCTTGGGCCCTGCACCCCATGGGAGACCAGGAGAAGCACCTGGCTCCTGCCATCAGATCAGCGCGGTGCGCTGGCCACAGCACGCCAGCCGTGGCGGCCACTGGAGGGTGAACCAACAGAAAAAGGAAGACCTTTCTCTCTCTCTCTCTCTCTCACTGTCCATTCTGCCTGTCAAAAAAAAAAAAAAAAAAAGAAAAAGAACAAAAAAAGATGTAAGTTAGGAACAGAAGGAGAGATTATAAACAGGCAGCACAAGAGAATTCTTGGGCTAAGGAACTAATAAGCCTTGGTTGTGCTAGTGCTTCACAACTCAACGTCTGTCAAATGCTTATTGACCTCTTTCACTGTACAAAATTCACACAAGAAATATTCTAAAGATTTATTTATTTATTTGAAAGTCAGAGTTACACAGAGAGAGGAGAGGCAGAGAAAGTGAGAGTGAGAGTGAGAGTGAGAGAGAGAGAGGTCTTCCATCTGCTGCTTCACTCCCCAATTGGCCGCAACTGCCACAGCTGCACGGATCCGAAGCCAGGAGCCAGGAGCTCCTTCTGGATCTCCCACGTGCATCTTGGGCCATCTTCTACTGCTTTCCCAGGCCATAGCAGAGAGCTGGATTGGAAGTGGAGCAGCCGGGTCTCAAATTGGCGCCCATATGGGATGCCGGCGCTTCAGGCCAGGGCATTAACCCACTGTACCATAGTGCCAGACAAGAAATACCCTCAAAGAATCCTCAGAAAAATTCTGAAAAAACTCAACCAATATGCAATGATTTTGTTTGCAACTCATATACAGATGATAAATAAAAAAGAAACCTATGTACATATTAAACACTGCTTTCATCCTACACCAAACTCCGATATCAGTGAGCTAAAGACAAATTTAGGGGCCGGCACTGTGGCTCAGTGGGTTAAAGCCGAGGTCTGCAGTGCCAGTTCGAGTACCAGCTGTTCCACTTTCAATCTACCTCTCTGTTAATGGGCCTGGGAAAGCAGCAAAAGATGGCCCAAGCGCTTGGGCCCCTGCACCCATGTGGGAGACCTGGAAGAAGCTCCTAGCTCCTGGCTTAGGATCAGCTCAGCTCTGGCTATTGGGGCCATTTGGAAAGTGACCCAGTGGATGGAAGACCTCTCTCTCTCTGTCTCTGTAACTCTACCTTTCCAATAAATAAATAAATCTTTTTTTTTTTTTTTTTTTTTTTTTTTTTTGACAGGCAGAGTGGATACTGAGAGAGAGAGATAGAGAGAAAGGTCTTCCTTTTTGCCATTGGTTCACACTCCAATGGCCGCCACGGCTAGCGCGCTGCAGGCGGCGCACCGCGCTAATCCAAAGGCAGGAGCCAGGTGCTTCTCCTGGTCTCCCATGGGGTGCAGGGCCCAAGTACCTGGGCCATCCTCCACTGCACTCCCTGGCCACAGCAGTGAGCTGGACTGGAAGAGGGGCAACCGGGACAGAATCCGGCGCCCCAACCGGGACTAGAACCCGGTATGCCGGCGCCGCTAGGTGGAGGATTAGCCTATTGAGCCGCGGCTCCAGCCTAAATAAATAAATCTAAAAAAAAAAAAAAAAAAAAAGGACAAACTTAAATATGTTAATCATATTAACTGGGTAAGCAGCTACCAAAAAATAAATTGGAATCCCTCAGACTTCTTACAACAAAACAAATATAAGATAAATAAAAGGTTTTAAAGCAAAAAGAAAAACAAACAAAACACTGAGAAAAATCTCAAAAACCGAAAGTCTTTATAAGCATTAATTTCCAATCCAGAAACCATCAAAGAAAACAAATTTGGGGGAAAAAAAGCACAAATTCATATGTTTATGTTTGCATGTGTTGGACAATTTGTTCACTTTCGTTGTACATGTGAAACTTTCCATTAAAAAACACCAGAAGCAAAACTAAAAACTGAATTTGAACTTGAAAACACAGAAGGCTAATTCATTACCTTGTTAGTTCTGCCAAATCTCATTTTAATATATCAAGAGACCCCATTTACAAGTTGTTCGGGGGAAACATTGTTCACACAGGTTACTGCCCTGTAGACAGCTGCTGAGTAAGACATGAGAGAAAGTACACGTCTGTCTGCGGCAGGTATTTCCTGTCCTAGCAGTGTCTCAGCTATGAGCTTTCCTTTCAAAGGCAAAGACCACACCTGCTTCCCTGCAGGCTCCCTGGCCCCAGCTGAGATGCTGCCCACCGGCAGGTGCTCCCGCTTCCTGAGGCTGGCTGTCTGCAGGCAGAGGTTCACTGCAGTCGCTCGGCCCCTGACGGCTACTGGTGGGCACAGTGCTGGTGGGCACGCTGTGAAGCACGCCGCACACCAACCTGAAACCCCTGTAACCCCAGACTGAAAAGTCCATGTTCGTGTTTAATTTGTTTATTATGTAACTAGTCAAAACGCTGATTTCCACCGGAATCAAGGTTACGCATGTAACTAACTGGCTAGCATCCAAGAGAGCAATTTGTTAAGAGGCTATGTAGTCTGGGGTAAATTGTATCTCTAGATACAGACAGACTAATTTTGAATCCTAGCTCCATCAACTTAAAAAATGGTATAATTTACCATACTTCAGGTACCATGTCTAATTTTTTGAGTCTCAGCTGCCTCATAAAATAACCTCGAAAAGTGGTAAGGAATAAATGAAATAACACTGAAAATGTACTTTGCCTTATTCCTGGCTCAAAATACTATCCTTTAATAATCATCGCTATTAGTCTGGCCTCAGAATCAGCCCTTAAGGCAGTCGGATATGGCTAAAGAGCCCATGAGAGTTTTTTAGGCATGCAAAGCCAAGACACTCTGGGGAAAAAAAAAAAAAAAAAAGAAGAAGAAGAAGACCTAAATGAAAGATCTCTGCGAGTGAGATCCCAGTGGAAAGAACAGGGCCATCAAAGAAGGAGGTACCTTCCTCTGAAGGAAGGAGAGAACTTCCACTTTGACTATGACCCTGGAATAAGAAGTCAGCGAACTCAAAAGGCTTCCATAGCCTTGGCAACTCATAACTAGAGCCTAGGGAGATTATTGATGCCATAAACAAGAGTGTCAAATTGTTAAATCAACAACAGGAGTCACTGTGTACTTACTTCTCATGTGGGATCTGTCCTTAATGTGTTGTCCAACATGAAGTAATGCTATAACTAGTACTAAAACAGTATTTTATACTTTGTGCTTCTGTGTGGGTGCAAACTGATGAAATCTTTACTTAATATACACTAAATTGATCTTCCGTATATAAAGATAATTGAAAATGAATCGATGTGAATGGAATGGGAGAGAGAGCGGGAGATGGGAGGGGTGCGAGTGGGAGGGAAGTTATGGGGGGAAAAAGCCATTGTAATCCATAAACTGTACTTTGGAAATTTCTATCTACTAAATAAAAGTTTAAAAAAAAAATCATCGCTATTGTCTATGGCCTTTCTACACACCACTTCTTCAAATGGAACAGCCTGTTTCTGTGTCTATCATGTGGGAATGGATCCTTATACATACTGTACTGTCCGCTGCTAGTCTGATAGATGGAAGTTGGAACAGACATAGAAGTAACAGCAGAAACTCCAGGGTTTTCTCCGTCTCCTTTTCTGCCTCGTGTATCTTCAGAAGAGAGGGCTTTCAAAATTTTTCTGTGAAGAACAGAACTCTATTAATGTTGGTAATATTTAGAACTTTATTGATGCTTAGCTTTTACAAGAAGAAACTCCTAAACCTTTCCCAATCTTGAGTTGAAAGTACAGCAATGTACTAGACAGCCAAATTCTCGTGTCAAGAGATACTTGTGTTTCGCACGTGTTACAATGCTGTGCCCCAGACTAGTTACATTTCAGTTTATGGCTACCTGAAAAGAGATAATGGTACACTGAACAGACACCCATACACACTGCCTCTCTATGTATAAGGCCTTGGGAGAAGTATGCAGTGTCTATGAGAGAGAAGGCATTTCATTAACTAACAAAATACTATTATTTTCTCATTAGTGTCTGTGACCTCCATTTCAGAAGATGACTTTTGTCACCCTTCACCTCTATAATGGAAGGGAACTCCACAGTTCTCGGAAAGAAACAGGATTAGACATACCACCATATTAAGTGCATGGAGTATCAGTGATAAATAAGATTGCTTACTTAAACAAAGACGTAAATGATACCCAGACTTGGTGCAATTTGGTTCATGACAGGAGTGAGGGAGGGAGAAGAATTCCTGCTAAAAAGAAAGGACTTCCCGGGGCAACGAGGGGCGTGGAGAAGCAGTAAGAAACGGACATCATTTGCTAGTGGAGAAAAAATAAAACTGAGATATTCACTCAAGATCCACAGTCACTGTAGAAAAAAACTTAAATACTTGGGTGAAAACAAGAAAAAAAGAATCCCAGGGCAGGCACTGTGGCAGCGGGGTAGGTATCATTCGGGATGCCCATGTCCCGTATCAGAGTGGGGGTTGGCTTGAGTGCTGGCTGGTCTGTTCCAATCCATATCCCTGCTAATGTGCCTGAATGCAGGTGGGAAGCAACAGAAGATAGCTTGAATACTTGAGGTTTCTTGCCTCCACCATGGGAGACCCGGATGGAATTCCTGGCTCTTGGCTTCTGTCTGGCCCAGCCCTGACTCTTGTGGCCATTTGGGGAGTGAACCAGCAGATGGATGATAGGTTTTTTTCTAATCGTAAATAAAATCTTACCAAAAAAATGATGCTTCCTGTTATTTATGTCAATATGTCAACCATCCAGCCCACGGAGAAATCCCTTTCCTCATATTCCTTACAACCTGGGTACCCACTACTTCCAAAAAGTAAACATCCCATCGTTGAACAGCTAAGAGTCCTTCCTCAGGCCCAAACTATAGGAAGTTAAGCCTAACCCAACTCGACATCCACACCAGTTGGCAGTATCTGACAACTGCTACGAGCCTTCTTTATTCTAGGCCGCATCCTGCAAGATCTTCCCGCGCCCCTCTGTAACATGCTGACCATCTTTCTCCAGGTTCAGCTCCTTTCTCTGAACAGTCTCTATGCTGAGAGACCACAGTAGGTTGTTGTCACACGTTTCACACAGAGAACAAGGGAGGTGGCAGTCCTATAGGGACCCTGTTGTAGATTTTCGTGGAATAGTCACAGTGGTTCTCAAACCTGCCGAAGTGTCAGAATCATCTAGAGAGGTTTGCTGAATCTAGAATTCCACCTGATGCCCCTAATGATTATGCTGGTCTGGGGCAGAGCACCAGAGTCCATTCAGCAAACTGCTCACACGACCTGACGCAGCCAGCCTAGCATGGGACTGTGCTGAGTCTTCCTCAATTTTAAATCACGAAACATCTTCAGCATAAAGTACAGAAAACACCTAAGTGCCACACCAAGACTCTCTACTTTGTCGTATTTGTTTCTGAGACTTTTACTAAGAATCCAGTTTCCAGATATACAAACTGTCACAATCAATGCCTTCCCCCACAAAGAAGTATCGCCTAAGGTGCTGTGTATCATTCCCACTCACAGCACTTGATACTCTGTACACTGCAGACAGAGATGTTACCTGCTATTGCTTTGTATTCTTCCTCATCTTCCGGACTTGGACTTACACAGTATCAAAGTGTAGTCTTTTTTTTTTTCTTTTTAAAAGATTTTACTTATTTACTTGAGAGGTAGAGTTACAGGCAGAGAGAGGGAGAGACAGAGAGAAATGTCTTCCATTCACTGATTCATTCTCAGATGGCCACAATGGCCGGAGCTGAACTGATCCACAGCCAGGAGCCAGAAGCTTCTTCCAGTACAGGGTCCGAAGCACTTGGGTCAGCTTCCACTGCTTTCCCAGGCCATAAGCAGAGAGCTGCGTCAGAATAGGAGCAGCAAGAACATGAACCAGTGCCCATATGGGATGCTGGCACCCTAGGCGGAGGCTTGACCTAATACACCACAGCACCAGCCCCTGATCTTTTTTCTTTTTTAAAGATTTATTTGGGGCCGGCGCCGCGGCTCACTAGGCTAATCCTCCACCTAGCGGCACCAGCACACCGGGTTCTAGTCCTGGTCGGGGCGCCGGATTCTTTCCTGGTTGCCCCTCTTCCAGGCCAGCTCTCTGCTGTGGCCTGGGAGTGCAGTGGAGGATGGCCCAAGTGCTTGGGCCCTGCACCCCATGGGAGACCAGGAGAAGCACCTGGCTCCTGCCTTCGGATCAGCGCGGTGCACCGGCCGCAGCACGCCAGCCATGGCGGCCATTTGAGTGTGAACCAACGGCAAAAGGAAGACCTTTCTCTCTCTCTGTCTCACTATCCACTCTGCCTGTCAAAAAAAAAAAAAAAGATTTATTTGGTTGAAGCCAAGAGCCAAGAACTCTATTGGGGTCTCCCACATGGGTGGCAGGAGCCCAAGAACTTGGGCTATCATCAACTGCTGTTTCCCAGGCGCACTAGCAGAAAGCTGGATCAGAAGCAGAATGTCAGGACATCAATCAGGGCTCCGACACAGTGTGCTGGTGCCACAGTGGCAGGGCTGTGCTACAGTGCCAGCCCTAACGGTGCAGATGAAGAAGTGCAGAAGGCTACACCCTATCTCTGGTGATGCCACTTGGCCATGGGCTTGATCACCTGTATAGACTGATGACCGTATAAACGATTGAATCCCAAGCTCTCGCCTCAATTTTTTTTTTTTTTTTAGATTTATGTATTTATTTGAAAGAGTTGCGAGGAGGGGGTGGGAGGAATGGGAGGAGGGGAAAGGGGTGGGGAGAGAGATCTTCCATCTGCTGGTTCATTCCCCAGATGGTCACAATAGCCAGGGCTGAGCAAGGCTGAAGCCAAGGATCAATAGCTTCATCCAGGTCTTCCACATGGGTGCAGAGGCCCAAACATTTGGGCCATCTTCTGCTGCTTTTCGCAGGAGCATCAGCAAGGAGCTGGATCGCAAGTGGAGCAGCCGGGATGTGAACTGGAGCCCAAATGGAATGCTGGCATCCAGGCAGCAGCTTTACCTGCTCTGCTACAGTGTCAGCCCCCTGAACTCCTCTCTTACCTACAATTTTGTATTGAACACTTCTACCCAATGTGCACCTCAAACATCCAAAAACTGTTAGATATCCTCCCACCCCTGGCAATCTTCCTCAATTCTGTAAATATCAACTCCATTCTTGTAGTTGGTGAAACCAAAAATTCTGCAACCATCTTTTATCTTTACCAGAACCCATATTCAATTCATGAGCAAATCACTGTCTCTACCCAGAATCCCAGCCCCTCATCCTCTGCACTGCAGCAGCCCCAGGAGCCCCAGTCCACACTCCACGCTACCACCCCACCACCCCTTTTGACGAAAGTCACAACAGCCTCCACCAGTCAGCCAAGTGCCTTCATCTGCCCCTACTCTGTCAACCTGTCCTCCGCACAACACTCATCCTTCTAAAATACCAGAGCAAGTCACTCTGCAGTGCTCCCCCGCCTCACTCTGAATAAACCCCGTGACATACAAGGCCACAAAACCAGTCCCCCATGACCTCTCAAGCCACTCTTCCCTCTCTGTCTTGCTACAGGGTATCTTTTTTTTTTTTTCCCAAAGAACCAGCTCTCAGTTTATATCATTAGTTTTATCCATTTGTCCTTTTACATATATCATATAATTAAATCACTTTAAATACACAATTCAATGTTTTTAGTATATTCACAGGCTTGCACAATCATTACCACAATCTAATCTATAACATTTACTGGGGCCTGCACAGTGGCATAGCAGGTAACACCACCGCCTTCATGCCAACATGCCACATAGATGCCAGTTGGAGTCCCAGCTGCTCTACTTCTGATCCAGCTCTCTGCTATGGCCTGGGAAAGAAGCAGAAGATGGCTCAAGTCTTTGGGCCCCCGCAACTGCGTAGGAGACCTGGAAGACGCCCCTGGCTCCTGGCTTCGGATTGGTCCAGCTCTGGCCATTTCAACCATCTGGGGAGTGAACCACTGGATGGAAGACTTCTCTCTCTCTCTCTGCTTGTGCCTCTCTGTAACACTGCCTTTCAGATAGATAAATAATTTAAATAAATAAATTTTAAAAAGATTTAGGTATTCATTTAATCTATTTGAAAGGCAGAGTTACACAGAGCAGAAGAGATACATACATGCACACAGTGGGAGAGGGAAAGGGAGGAAGGGGAGGGGGAGGGGAAAAAGAGGGAGGGGAAGGAGAAGAGGGTGGGGGAAAGGGAGAGGGGGAGGGGAAAGAGGGGGAGAGGGGGAGGGATCTTCCATCCGCTGGTTCACTCCCCAAATGGTTGCAATGGACAGGGCAGGGCCAGGCTGAAGCCAGGAGTCAGGAGCTTCCTCCGGATCTCCCACCTGAGTGCAGCGGCCCAAGCTGCTTTCCCAGGCACATTAGTAGGAAGTTGGACAGGTTTCGAACTGTGCCCATATGGGAAACTGACATCATAGGGTTGCAAAGACACTGGCCCTGAACATCTTAATTATAGCTCCTTTATATTCTCTATCACATAATTTAAAAATTTATGTCATCTAGGTGTTAGTATCTGACAGTCTTTTCCCAATTTTGGACATTTTCAATATTATGCTACCATATGAGATGCCAGGGTTGCAGACAAGAGCTTAACCTGTATCGGCCCCTGTTTTTATTCCTTATTTGCTACAAAAATTATGAGTGCTTAATTTCATCCCATACCTTCTCTGAATTTATTGAGCTGTCTGTATTATTTCTGCTGACTGTCACTTAAGAGTGCTTTATTTCCTTGGCATGTTTCATGATTTTTGACTGAATTCATATCTGAGCCTAATCTGTGGCAATCCCAAAAATCTTAAGTCTGGGAAGTTCCTTTTCAGATGTCTAGCTCCTTCAGTAGATCTACAGTAATGGGCGTCTCCCAGTGTTCATGCTTGCTTCTATTTCTCACTCTGGTTTCACTTCATGTATCTGTATGCATATGGTTTTTGTACATGCATGAAGAGTGATGAGATTTTTATTATTTTTATAGGTGTACAATGCATTCATTTTTTTTAAGATTTATTTATTTGAAAGGCATAGTGATAGTGGGAGGGAAAGACAGACAGACAGACAGACAGACACACACACACACACACACACACACAGAGATCTGCCATCCACTGGTTCACTCCCCAAATGTCAGCAACAGCTGGGGTTGGGCCAGGCTGAAGCCAGGAGCCAGGAACCAGGAACTCTATCCAGATCTCCCACTTGGGTGGCAGGGACCCAAGTCTTTGGGCCATTATCCACTGCCTTCCCAGGCACATGAGCAGGAAACCAGTTTAGAAGCAGGGTAACCAGGACTTCAATCAGGCAATCCAATATGGAGTGTGGGCATTGTAAGCAGCAGCTTAACTGACTGCACCACTGTGCCTGTCCTGCGAACAAGTATTTTATCCAGGAGAGAACAAGTATTTTATCCTGGGAGAGCCTCACTGTTTGGAAATTAAACTTCATTTATATTCTTTTAGTGATTGTCTCTATTTATATTCTTTCAGTGATTGTCTCTAACAGTCTAAAGTAAGTCTAAAGGTAATCAATTGGAGACCCCAATAGGCCATTCCTGTCTGGTACTTTTTTGTTTGTTTTTCAAGTACCCAAATTAATCATTCTTACTCTTGTTCTAAAACATCAATTGTAACTTAACTAAACTGTCTTTGCTCTTCATTCTTTCTTACATTCACATTCTTTCTATTTAGTTTCATTTTTTTCTTCTTCAAATTTACCCTTTGGAACTTTCTTAAATTAGTGCAACATGAGTTTTATTTCACAAATTATTTTTGAGCAACTGCTCAGATGGGTATAGAATTCTAGACCAGGGGCCAGCAATACGGCAAAGCAGTTAAACTGTGGCCTGCAGCACCAGCACCCCATACAGACACCACTTCTGATTATGCTCCCTGCTAATGCACCTAGGAAAGCAGTGGAAGATGGCCCAAGTCCCTGAGCCCCTGCACTCACATGGGAGACTCGGAAAAACTCCTGGCTTTGGCCTGGTCCAGTCCTGGTAGTTTCGGCCATTTGGGGAGTAAACCAATGAATAGAAGATTTGTCTCTCCTTCTCTCTAGCTCTGCCTTTCAAATAAATAAATAAATAAATCTGTTAAAAAAAAAAAAAGGAATTCTAGACAAACAGTACTTTCTCTTAGCATTTAAAGGTTTTTTAGTTCAGGGGCCAACACTGTTGCTCTGTGGGTTAAGCTGCTGCTTGCAGTATTAACATCCCATATCCAAGTGCCGAGTCCCGGCTACTTCACTTCCAATCCAGTTTTCTGCTATGCACCTGGGAAGGCAGCAATGATGGACCAGATAGCTGGGCCTCTGCCACTCACACGGAGACCAGGATAGAGTTCCTGGCCTCAGCCTGGCCCGGCTCCGATTGGTAAGGCCATCTGGGGAGTAAACTAGCAGATGGAAACTCTGTCCTCTTTCTCTCTGTAACTCTACCTTTCAAATAAAAAAAAATCTTTTAAAATAAATAGATAAATGTTTAATCCACTGTCTCTCTTTGTTACCCTAATGGTTGCTCCTTTCTAGGTCTTCTGTCTTTTCTCTGTAGAAGTTGTTAAATCTTATGTTTATCTTTGGTATTCTCCAACTTTGCTTCACATGATACATCTGGATGTGGGTTTACGTTATCTTGTTAGGAAGCTGGCTTTCTAAAGACATGTCCTGAAATACCATTCATTATTTTTTGTCTCTTACAAAGACTAGCAGCTGGAAGTACCATTCCCCATTTTCTCTTTTTGAAAGTATCGTTAGATATATGTTGTGTGTTGAGCCTTCTGATTTTATTCTCTGTATCTTTTTATGCTCCACTTTAGATAATTTACTCACAGTTATACCTTCCAGTTCCCTAATTCTCTCTCTCTCTTTTTTTTTTTTTTTTTTTTGACAGGCAGAATGGACAGTGAGAGAGACAGAGAGAGACAGAGAGAAAGGTCTTCCTTTGCCATTGGTTCACCCTCCAATGGCCACCGCACTGATCCGATGGCAGGAGCCAGGTACTTATCCTGGTCTCCCATGGGGTGCAGGGCCCAAGCACTTGGGCCATCCTCCACTGCACTCCCGGGCCACAGCAGAGAGCTGGCCTGGAAGAGGGGCAACCGAGACAGAATCCAGCGCCCCGACCGGACTAGAACCCGGTGTGCCGGCGCCGCAAGGTGGAGGATTAGCCTAGTGAGCCGCGGTGCTGGCCGCCCATCTGCTTCTCTTAACACCTCCTATCTCACACAGACATTTGCTCCCTCTTTAGTCTGCTTTGCATTGCACCACTGGAACTCTCGGAGTAAATGCCACATGCACAGTTTTATACAGGAGAGAACTCACCTGTAGGATGGGCGTAGTGCTAGGATCCCGGGGGCTTTCTGTGAGGAGCCTATGCTGTCAGATGAGTCCTGAGACTCCTCACTTTCTGATAAAGATGATACCTGAAAAGGAGAAACAATTTTCATGTTAACAACACAGGTAAAAAAAGAAACGAGTCTCTACTTGCAGAAAAAATTATCTGTCTCCTGCCACTCACTCATTGTGTACTAAATCGAAGGTCTAAAACAAAGAAACAAAAGGGAAAGGTTTATTCCAGGTGTCCAAACTAATTAAATGAACATATAATACTATAGTAGGCCCCGAGCTAAGCATAAAGTACATCCCCAAATACAACAGCGCTGTTCTACTGCAGTCAGACTCTGGTCCCAGTCTCCACCCCAATGCTACGCTGATACACATTATTCAAAAGCGTGTGTGTGCGGTTCTTTCATCACTAATGGTTTCTGGTTTGGATTCTGGACATGTTAAATATGGAAAGCCTAGTAGATATCCACCTACTGACATGGAGGAGACTGCCAAAAACCCAAGCATGCAGGTCAGACAAAAGGTTCTGGACTAGGCACATACATACATAGGAGATGTGGCTCATTAGAATCGAAGCCATGAGGCTGGCTGGGGGTAAAAATACACACAAAAAAGGTCCAAAGACTGAGCCTAGAACGTTCCAATGGTAAAAGATAGGAAAGGGGAGGAGGAGTCAGCAAACAAGGCTGGGAAAACACCACCAATGAGGAAAGAAGAAAACCAAGTGAGTTCTTAGAAAATGAATGAAGACAGTGTAGTGAGGAGAGTGAGCAACCCAGCCAAATGCTGCCTATAGCTAAAGTGAAACAAGGATTAAGAATAAACTACTAGATTTAGCAGGGTGGAGGTGACTAACAAGGACAGGTGAAAATATACACAACTTAAAATGTAGTCATGGGCCGGCGCCATGGCTCACTTGGCTCATCCTCCGCCTGTGGCACCAGCACCCCGGGTTCTAGTCCTGGTTGGGGTGCTGGATTCTGTCCTGGCTGCTCCTTTTCCAGTCCAGCTCTCCGCTGTGGCCCGGGAGTGCAGTGCAGGATGGCCCAAGTCCTTGGGTCCTGCACCTGCATGGGAGACCAGGAGGAAGCACCTGGCTCCTGGCTTTGGATTGGTGCAGCGCGCCAGCCGTAGTGGCCATTTTGGGGGTGAACCAACGGATAGGAAGATCTTTCTCTGTCTCTCTGTCTAAATCTGCCTCTCAAAAAAATAAATAAATAAAAATAAAAATGTAGTCATGAGATCTCATTTCACAATCACACAAGTTACTACATGTAAAGCACTCACTGTGTTGCGCACACACACAATAAATGGCAGACACTCTTAATAAAAAACACTTTAAAACTACATCAATAAAATATAGCAGTTTTAAGTTACAGCTTTTACAATTGAGAAAGTGAGCTATTTCGAACTTTTAAGATGTATTAAGTTTCCAACTTGCCCAAAGCTAGACCGTAATACTTTACTTCATTTTCATTTTGTAACATTCTTAAAAATTATTTATTGTTATTTATTTGCAAGACAGAAACAGAGAGTTATTCCATCTGCTGGTTCAGTCCACAAATACCTATAACAACTGGGATTAGAACAGGTCAAACTAGAAGTTCATAACCCCTAAGGGTGAAGCTAAAAACTTGCCATGGAACTCCAATTCCCATTAAGCTGGGTGGTACTAATCCCATCTTATGTGATAAAGTGATCATTTTAAGCATGGAATTGATCGTATAGATAGGACTAAGTGTCAAAGGGATCAGATACCTAAGACCAAGCGTCTGGTAATAACAATAGAATTACAAAGGAGAGAAAGTTCCAACAATGGAAAGCTGTCTATACAGCAGACTCATAGAATGACAAATGCCCTAAACAGCACTCTGACCTCAGAATCAGCCACTAAAACATTTGAATCTGGCTGAAAATCCCACAGGAGCATTTCAAGCATTGAAAGCCAAGACACAGTGGCAAAAATGGTTCTGCATGAAAGATCTCTGTGAGTGAGACCCCAGTGGAAAGAAGGGGCCATCAAAAAAGGATATACTCTTCTCTGAAGGGAGGAGAAAAATTCCACTTTGCATATGGCCCTGTCTAAATACCAACAGAGTTTGTGGACTCAAAAGGCTTCCATAGCCTTGGCAGCTCATGTCAAGAGCCTCGGTGGTCACTGACATCATAAATAAGAGTGTCAATTGTTAACAACAGGAGTCACTGTGCACTTACTCCCCATGTTGGGCCTCTGTCCTTAATGTGTTGTACTTTACTTTATACTTTGTGTGTTCGTGTGTGTGCAAACAGTTGAAATCTCTACTTAGTACAGAGTTGATCTTCTGTATATAAAGTCAACTAAAAACAAATCTTAACGAAAAATGGAATGGGAGAGGGAATAGGAGGTGGGATGGGAGTGTGGGTTGGAAGGTGGGAATGGGAGGAAGAAACACTATATTCCTAAAAGCTGTACATATGAAATTTGTATTCATTAAATAAAAACCTTCAAAAAAGAAAAACAAAAAACAAACAAACAAACAAAAAACAGGAGTTCAAAAACCAAATCTCGGTCTCCTACACGGGTGTCAGGGACCCAAGTACTTGAGCCATCACCTGCTGCTTCACTGGGTGCACATTAGCAGGAAGCTGGAATTCAAAGTGGAGCTAGGACTTGAACCAAGACACTGCCACGTGGGATGTGGGCGTCTCAAGTGTCAGCTTAACTACTGTGCCAAATATGCACCACATCTTCATTTTAAAAAATAAAATGAAATAATCCAAACATGCTCCTAGAAGGGAAGAAGTCAGTATCTACATTAGTTACTATCTATAGAGAGCCTTCCACTTTTAACTGTTTAGACTTAAGACATTAAATTTCCAGAGATACTTGTTTTACATTCTAACGTCTCCTTCAAAAACAAGTTCTAGTGTACAATTCCTCACTGACCTTAACAATATCTTTCGACAGGAAGAGCTGATCACAACTCAGTAACTAAGAAACAACAGTAAGAAATAATTTAAAAACCTGTCACTACTGTCTTCTTTAAACATCACAGAAACTCCATTTCAATCTGAAGCTGTTACCAATTTTCATGGTTTGTCCCCAACTTTACTCCAAAGCTGCACTGAACTCAAAGTAAGAAAATAACTTCTGAAACTGAGGAAATTATTGGTAATTAAGATCAAGTATTTCTAATGACAGAATCTGCAAATAATAGCAAATCCCCACAGTAGCTCTTCTACTTACTACTTGTTGAATTCTTTATTTAGTAGAAGGTTAAGCTTGTGATTATAAAGTAAACTGAAAGTATGTCATTGTAAAAATTGAAAGAAAAATGAGGTGGTAGTGGTGGTGAGGGAGGGTAGGGTGGGGAGTATCATTATGCTCTTAAAACTGTATATATGAAATATATGGGGGCTGGAGCTGTGTGGTAGTGGGTAAAGCCATTGTCTGCAGTGCTGGCATCCCATATGGGCACCAGTTCAAGTCCCAGCACATGGGAGCTCTGTCTTATTATTTGTCTCTTTAAAAAGAAAAAAGCCAGCGCCGCGACTCTCTAGGCTAATCCTCCGCCTAGTGGCGCCGGCACACCGGGTTCTAGTCCCGGTTGGGGCGCCGGATTCTGTCCCGGTTGCTCCTCTTCCAGTCCAGCTCTCTGCTGTGGCCCGGGAGTGCAGTGGAGGATGGCCCAGGTGCTTGGGCCCTGCACCCCATGGGAGACCAGGAAAAGCACCTGGCTCCTGGCTCCTGCCATCAGATCGGCGCGGTGCGCCGGCCGCAGCGCGCTGGCTGCGGCGGCCATTGAAGGGTGAACCAATGGCAAAGGAAGACCTTTCTCTCTGTCTCTCTCTCTCACTGTCCACTCTGCCTGTCAAAAAAAAAAGAAAAAAAAAAAGAAAAAAAAAGTATAATGAAGTGATTGATAACAGATTAAAAAACTCTAACAAACCCTAAATCAGTGAAGGAAGCAATCTCTAAAACTTACTTTTCAAAGTTACATGTGGGCATGTCCTATCTTGTTATAGCCATCAGTTTTGGGAATAAAGGAAGGGTCCTACAAATGGGAGACACATGTAAAACAAATGGGATTCCCACAAAGGGAACAAAATCAGGCTGGCATGGAATTCCTCTGTAATAACAAATGCCAGGCTGGCACTGTGGTATAGCTGGTAAAGCCACCACCTTCAGTGCTGGCATCTCATATGGGCATAGGTTCGAGTCCTGGCTGCTCCACTTCCAATCCAGCTCTGCTAAAGGCTGGGATAGCAGAAGATGGCCCAAGTCCTTGGGCCCCTGTACCCGTATGGGAGACCCAGAAGCAGCTCCTGACTCCTGGCTTCAGATCGGCTCAGTTCTGGCCATTGTGGTCATCTGGGGAGTGAACCAGCGGATGGAAGAACTCTCTCTCCCCCTCTTTCTGGTTTTATCTCTCTCTGTAACTCTTTCAAATAAATAAAACAAATCTTAAAAAAAATAAAAAGAAATGTATCTACAAATCACACAGAATCTGTGAAAAACTAATTAAAAATGAAAATTCAAAAAAGAAAAAATATTTCTTTCCTACAAAATTTTTTTTAAAGATTTATTTATTTATTTGAAAAAGTTACACAGAGAAAGGAGAGGTGGGGTGAGGGGAGGTCTCCTATCCGATGGTTCACTCCCCAACTGGCCGCTACAGTCAGAGCTGTGCTGATCCAAAGCCAGGAGCCAGGAGCTTCCCCTGGGTGTTTCAATGAAGGTGCATGGGGACAATAAGCGCTCACCCCTACTATCAAAGAACTTTTATTTGACCTCCACAAAGTATACAGCAGCTGCTTTCTTACTTTGCTAACATTCTTGCATCACTGCCTCAGCTTCATAGTTCCCCTTTCCATGGAAGTACCATCCATGAGGACAAACAAGCTTCTTCTCTTAAAGTCTTTCATTTCCTTAAATTCTCAGCAAAACTGTCTTTGATTTTAGCTGTCACATACATGAAATTAGAAGTTATCAAACTTTTCCATTTCCTTCATTTGGTCTGAAGTCTAATTTCTCAGATAACACTGTCATCTTGGTTTAGAATACTGTAACTACAGCAACTTCTATCTACGTCAAGAC